TACTGTGTGTAATTTCTAATCATATCTTCATTTCTCAACTAATTAACATACTTATTGTCGATAGTGTAGCTGTGAATCACCATATTACTTTCATCAGAAACTTGTTTTATTTAAATAAAAGTTAATATTCATTGGTCTATTGGTGCTTGGGCTTAATTTAAAACTATTCAGGTTTTCTGCGAGTAAATCGTATGTATTTTCTGATGTTTTGAAATTTCAACACCATAGTGTTGTTGGCGTATTGCTTACCTTTAAAATCAAGAGTAAACTATTGGTAAATCACCTCTGGTTTCTCTGCATCACGTATAAATCTTTCGCCTTTTACTAAAGATTTCCGTGCAGAGGAACTTTATTGAGTTTTATTCTATTTTTTAAAACCTCGTGAATTATCATGAGGCAAATAATCAATTAAAAAGAGAATCATCTTAATCAATACTTTTGTTCCTTGAATAGTTAACCCTACTTAATAGACAGATAATTTTCAAATATACCGATTCTTTTCAAGATCTCACGTTTACGAATACGACATGTTACGCAAGAAAGTATCAAAGAAAATATAATACATACTCCAAGTATTGAAATACACGCCATCGTGTCGGGATTCAATATTTCGACATTAATTATGTCATTTTAAGGAATCATGTTACACAATAAGCGACATGTTTAAAATAAAACATTTTGCACGTGTAAGGATAAATAGAATCTTACTGTGTGTAATTTCTAATCATATCTTTATTTCTCAACTAATTAACATACTTATTGTCGTCAGCTGTGAATTATCATATTACTTTCATCAGAAACTTGTTTCAATTAAATAAAAGTTAATATTTATTGGTCTATTGCTGCTTGGGCTTAATTTAAATTTATTCATGTTTTCTGCGAGTAAATCTTATGTATTTACGTTGACTAATACGACATGTTACGCAAGAAAGTATCAAAGAAAGTATAATACATACTCCAAGTATTGAAATGCACGCCATCGTGTCGGGATTCAATATTTCGACATTAATTATGTCATCATCAGGAACCATGTTACGCAATAAGCGCACATGTGAACCAATGGGAAAGCTGCAGTGTAAAGACGCAAAAAAAATAACAAAATTGTCACTTGAACACAACACACAGTGTTGTTCTGCGTGTCTTGCTTTTCCTTCAGTTTCTCTTGGTTCTCGTTGTTCTTTGTTTAATATTCACTTAGAGTACAAATACAAGTGTTGAATTCGGTGTACAGAAAGTTCGGTTTCATTCTGTAATAGACGTTTTCTAATTGTTGCATGAAATTTAAAAAAAAAAATAATGCACAAATAAATGCTAGTATATATTATATAAATATATATAGGCCTAATGTTAATTTTATTTTTGGTTTAAAATAAAACATTTTGCACGTGTAAGGTTAAATAGAATCTTACTGTGTGTAATTTCTACTCATATCTTCATTTCTCAACTAATTAACATACTTATTGTCGATAGTGTAGC